ATCCCAGAGGGTATGCACATGACGTCACCGTCGGCCGGAGTGACTGCGGTTCTGCCCACTGAGTGGCAAAAAGACGTGAGTGGAAGCATTGGTTTTCAGCATGAATGCTGCGGAAAAAAACACAAAACACATCTAAAACAGGAAAGAGCTTTGCAATTGACTGTACAAAGAAATCAGAGGTATATTTTTACAGACTTCGTAAAATTATTCACAGCATTATGACTTGTTTGTAAACGAATCTTCGGTAAAATGAAGTGAACAAAGGAAGCAGTTCTTACTGATGCTGTCTGGATCTTCATTAAAAATAAAGTTGATTCACTCTTTAATGTTGGGATCAGAAGGAAGGCGATGCAAAGACTGTTTCCATAGCTTGGCACTGCACAGCGTCTTGTTATCTTCGGATCATCTTTATCATTTGGTTTCTGTGTAGACCTGCATTTGCCTCTCTTGTTATTTACACTACATGCGCAAATCGGTGGGCGGAGCTAAACAGGCAGTGATGTAGAAGCAGGCGTTGATCTTCTTCTGCGGAGGTGGAGTTTAGCCACACTATTACATCATAAAGTGGCACATTCAACAAGCTGTCATTTTGGCAGATGGGCTTCAATATAAGCTGTTTATAGACTAACGAGAAAGTTTTAGAGTTCTGAAACATACAAGATGTTTTTATAGTACAATGACCTCTTATCTGTCAAAAGATCAAGGGAATGTCCCTACAAAATAAAATTTAAAGAATGTCCATTTAACTTTTCTTAGTGGGGCTGTTAAAGTTTTATCTACTATTAATAGAACAAAAAGATGTAAATTCAAGCAATTAATATACATTTTGGTTGTTCAGGTGCCCAAACTTAAGGGAACAGTGGTTAAACTACACCCTCAACAAATGTAACTGCCTGGGACACCACACGTGAAATTCAAGATTGCTTCATACAAAACCCATCTGGGCAGATTATGATCACTCTCTGGGAGAAACTAATACTGCAAGTACAACAAGGAAATAGATGTAAATGTACTAATCTCAAAACCAGATTGTTCAGGGATGGCGTAACACTCACTACAACTAGACCAACCACTGTTACTACAATAGCCTTGATATATATAGAAAAGAAGTAGCACATTGATCAAAAATCATTTGATAATTCATCAAACTTTCTGTGATTCTCTTACAAAGACACATCGGATCTTCTTGATCACGATATAAGGATGTTTAAATAAAATCATCAAAATTATTTAAGCACGGCATGAAGCACAAAGTTACCATGCCACAGCACGAAGCACAAAGTTACCAATGCCACAGCACAAGACAAAACACGTGCACATGAAAATAACTAATCAAAATGAATCACTCACCTCCGATAATAGTTGAAGAGTTTTCTTTTCAAAAGTGTGTACTTTTTCTTTACCAAAAGAGTACATACTTTAAAGGGTGTAGTATAAGTAGGCACATTGAGACGCAGCAAGAGACTTTTCAACATACAAAGAAAAAAAAGAAGAAGAAGATTAAAGGGGTCATGAACTGCCTTTGATTTTTATTTTGTACTGCTCTCTGAGGACCACTTATAACATTATCAAGATTTTTACATTAAAAAAACATCATTTCTACGGAAGTTCTAAGCGGCCATGCAATATACTACTGGAAAACTATTTATGTATATAGCCTATTACAAAATATATCCAAAACAACTTACAAATGAGGGAGAAAACAACACTAAGGCTGCTGAGTATCATATTCTAGCAGTCTGAGTGTTGTTTTCCCCTCATTTGTAAGTTGTTTTGGATATTTTTTTAAATAGCTGTACATACATAAAGTTTTCCAGTAGTTTGATTTACTATTTATTATTTTACAATTTATTTACTTGTTTATTCTTTAGAATTTTTTTGCAATTTTATTGCAATGTTTTAATATGCTAGATAATGCTTTTAATAGTTATTTGCAATTAATGTTCTACTTCTACTGCTTCATTTAAAATTCACTGTTCACTGCTCTATTATCCATTCTTAATATGCTTTGTTTTAGGAGGAACTGGAAACTGTTCTCTACATGTGGAATAACCATCGAATCCGACGTAGCAGTGGTCGTGACTTACAACATGGGAAACCCTTCCTCATGTACAATTTACCAGAACTTTATCAAACAAAAGACTACTTGAATCCTGTAGATGCTGAAAGATTGGATGTGATTATCCATGAAAATGTCTGCCTGTGGAAATCAGACATACCCTGTGATCGTGACATCTATGACCTCTGTGTTCTTGTTATGGAGGAGAATAATCTACAGCCAAGTGCAGCAGCCACAGAGGCATTGAGACTCTACAAAAACATTCGACCTCTTAGAAATAGTGTAAAACTTGAAAACCCATTGACAACCATACTATTCCATTCACAACAGTTCTTAAAATAACGGTTATTTCAACTTCATTTAAACATGAGAACATTACTTTCAGTATTTATACTTTCAGTATAATTTAACAGATATCTTTTTCATGCTGTTTAGGCACTTCAGCTTTAACACTCATACGTCTATGACATATCCATTACCCACACTCCACTGTTCAACACAGAGCAAAACTCTACCCTAAATTCTGCATAGGTGCTGTAGTCACTTGCCAGTTCAAGGTGTTGTGAACAAGTGTGGGCAATGGGCCTTCTTGAAAACTCATTCATTTCTGTAAATGTTACCTGAATCGTCTTGGAGAGAAATAAATCAGACCCTGTGCAGTATCTGAGAAAAAGACCAAGTTCCTTCTGGATATAACGAGAAAATTAAGTCGTTATAAAGAGAAAACAACTCTCGTTATGTGGATATAACGAGAAAATTAAGTCGTTATAACGATAAAACAACGCTCGTTATGTCGATATAACGAGAAAAGTTGTTATAACGAGAAAACAACTCTCGTTATGTCGATATAACGAGAAAATGAAGTCGTTATAACGAGAAAACAACTCTCGTTATGTCGATATAATGAGAAAATAAGTAGTTATAAC